GCACCGATCCTGGTAAGGCCAATCCTTGACCCAGGATCGGTGCATATGCCTTCCCGGCCAAGGCAGGAGGGCGTATGCACCGATCCTGGGCTCAGGATGGGCCTGGCCAGAATCGGTGCATGTGCATAGTTCTTTTTCCCCTGTTCGTGCTCTCTACCTGGCCATGACTCATCGAGAACCAAAGAAGCCTGAACCCTCACAGCACAGTGAAGACGTGGCCTCGCGTAGGTCCCCGCCTTTTGCATTCGGGCGAATAGATCTGGGCGGTCTGGTCCGATGCATCGACCGAACAAGAAGCCCATCCCTAATGTGTTTGGCCCTCCTAGTTCAGGTCCCCTCCCAAAATCTTAGGGGTCCTGTTACTGCGAATCACTGATCTCGCCCCGCCCGCCTTCGCGAAGTCGATGAACTCGATCCTTGGACGCTCTTGTCAATAAGCGTCGCTGGTGCTTTCGCCCGTGCGTGGCCGCGCTGCTGCCTGTCAAAAGCAGGCACGTCGGTTCGCGCCAGGAGGACAGGGAGATGGGGATGAGGGGGAGAACGAGGAACGTGAGGGGAATGGGAAGAGAGGGGACCGTCAAGAGCAGGAGTATTTGCACCAGTCGGAAGAAGAAGGGAGAGGGTCAGGAGAAGGAGGGACGAAGATCAGAAGAGAGACGGTACGCTGGAAAGGGGCGAGGCGCAGCAAGGGGAGTTGCAACAGTGAGAGGAGCATAGAAGAGTTGGGTCGGGGAAGGGGAGGAGCAGTACCAGAAGGGATGATGATGATGATGATGATGATGATGATGATGATGATGATGATGATGATGATGATGATGGTGTTGATGCTGATGGTGATGATGACGATAGTGATGATGACGATGCTGATGATGATGATGATGCTGATGATGATGATGATGATGATGATTGTGGTGGTGGTGAGGGTGGTGGTGATGATGATGATATCCGTGATGCCGATGATGATGCTGATGCTGATAATGATGATGATGCTGCTGATGATGATGATGACGATGCTGATGATGATTATGATGTTGATGATGATGCTGATGCTGATGCTGACGGTGATGATGACGGTGATGATGGTGCTGATGATGATGATGATGATGATGATGATGATGATGATGATGATGATGATCATGATGATGATGATGATGATGGTTGTGGTGATGGTGAGGGTGGTGGTGATGATGATGATGATATCGGTGATGATGATGATGATGATGCTGATGCTGATGCTGATGCTGATGGTGACGATGACGGTGATGATGGTGTTGATGATGATGATGGTTGTGGTGGTGGTGAGGGTGGTGATGATGATGATAATGATGATGATGATGATGATGATGATGATGATGATGATGATGATGAGATCGTTGTTGATGATGATGATGATGATGTTGATGCTGCTGATGATGATGATGCTGATGATGATGATGATGATGATGATGATGATGATGATGATGATGATGATGATGATGATGATGATGATGATGATGATGATGATGATGATGATGATGATGATGATGATGATGATGATGATGATGATGATGATGAGTAGGAGGAAGAGGACGAGAGGGAGGAAGGCGGGGACGAGAACAGAGGGGGCGAGAGATGCATGACAACGCAAACGAGGTGGACGCGGACGAGGAGGAGTAAGAGGAGGTCCATGGGGAGAAGGATCAGGGGGAGGCGGACGAGGTGGAAGATGATAAGGAGGAGAAGGGAGATTGACGATGCTGAGGAACATGCTATGCAGGAGGAGGAGCACGGAGAGGGGAACAAGCCAGGAGGAGGAATCTGATACAGAGGAACGGGAACACGAATGCCGATTGAGAGGAGAGATGAGTACGAGGTGGAGATTGAGGAGTGTGAATAAGGAGGAGGAGGAGGAGGGGGAGGAGGAGGAGGAGGAGGAGGAGGAGGAGGAGGAGGAGGAGCAGGAGCAGGAGCAGGAGCAGGAGCAGGAGAAGGAGGAGAAGGAGGATGCTGAAAAGGAATGACATAAGGAATATGGCGAGAAATACCGAGGGTGAGGAAGCGCAGGACGAGGCCGAGGAGAGGAGGAGGAAGAATGGGAGGATGAGAGGGGGAAGGACGTCGAGGAAGAGGATGAGAATTGCAAGGGGCGGGGAAAGATGAGTCGCCACTGTGTGCGGCCACTTTAGGAGCACGCCGATGGTCAGTTAGGTGCCCAGACTCACGGGAGTCGTTTGGCGCTGGCCCGGGTTTGCTCAGTGTTTCCCGCTTTCTTCCTCCTCCTCCTGCTCCTCCTCGTTTTCGTCTTCGCCGTTCCTCCTCAGGCCTTGGTGACATTTTGGTGGCCACGCTACACGGTATCAGCTGCGACCGTTCAGGATTGCCACCGGGTTCCCCCCATCGCAGCGCGAACCATTTTAACGCATTTGAGCTGTGCGCGTGTGTGGTTTGGTCTTGGTGCCGATATTGGGATAGCCCTCCTCCAGATGCCACCCAGACGCTTCCAACGACGCTGCTCTTGAACACGAAGGCGAGCCGCTACCGTCCCCTGGGGAGGTGGAGCCCGAGCGTTTCCCACAAGCAGGCGGAGAGGAGGAGGAGGAGGAGGCGCAGAATGACTTGGCGGCGAGCGAGGGGGTAAGGTGAGAAGGAGAGGGCCTTCTCACAAGGCAGCGGGGCTTCTCAGAAGCCCCCACGCCTTATGAGAAGCTGTCTGCGTCTTCGGGGGAGGCTTCGAGAACGTCTCAGAAGGCCAGGGGATTTTCGAGCCTTCTGAGAACTGAGAAGGCCCGTCCCTTCTCACTTCCCCCCCAGGCTCGCCGCCGAGAGGAGCGAGAGAGGACTCCCACCCCTCCCTCCCTGCATGGGGTCGTGCCGCAGGAAATGCTGAAGGAGTTGAAAATGCAGGGCCTCTCTGAGGATCAGGAGACGCCCCCCCCCCGCCCCCGCCCTACAGGGACGGCTCCGGGCGCACCCAGCTGCAGGCTTTCATGTGGGAGCGATGTGGTAGCAAAGCGGGGCAGAGCGGTCAGATGGAGGGGGGGAAGTATGGGAGAGGAGAAAAGGGGGATTCCCCCAGCCGCGCGATTGATGCTGCAGGCACGTGCTTCTTGATCGCGCGGGCGGGATCGCCCTCCTGAGGGGCAGTGGATTTCCAGTTCTGGGGGGAGACAAGTGTATGGGAGAGAAGAAGAGGGGAAGGGAGTGAGGGAGGGAGATTGGGAGTAGGAGGACGGAGGGAGGAAGGGGATGGGGATGGTATAGAGGAACCGGTGGATGGAATCATCTGCCGCATGTGTCTCGGCATTGAGCTTGCGATTGGTGTTTCCCTCTGGAGAAGGATGCAACCTCCAACAATGTATTACACTAGCCAGGGTAGTCGTAAGCCTAGGGGGTCTAGCAGCATGACGATGTTGCAGATGTTGACAATCCATTTTTCCTCATACTCGCTGCTCTTGTCGCCGCACGTGCCTGGCGTGCGCACTGGTGGCGGTTGACTCCATACAATGCCAAACATAAGCCACGCTTGATGGGCAGCTTCAAAAGCGGCAGCGCTCTAGACACACCCTGTAATTGTTTCCATCGTGCCTTTGTATGCTCGGCAGAGTGAGGCGCTTTCCAGAATGCAAGCCAGCACGTTCCACCATTCTGAGTATATATATATATATATTTATGCATATACGTTCCAGCCTTTTAGACTTAAGGTGTGATGAGCACTTCTGCGATCTAGTCCCATACGCCTCAGCCAATGAGCCATTCGGACCACAAGTGCCTCCGACGCTGGCGTGTGCCAATGCGTTTTCAGGTGTGATATTTTCCAGCGTGCGTTGTCATGTGCGCTCTCGGCCGCATGCCCATCCTGCGTGTGAGATCAGATCGCACCCTTCGGTGCGCAACCCGATCTGACCCCGGGCAGCTCCCAACGCACTCCTCATTGCGCAGTGGGCGTTTCTGTTGTTTGTACCGATTGTGTGCAGTGTGCGCACGCCCAGGTGGACTAGTCCAGTGCGTGCCGCCCATGCGACCGCGCATCAAAAACATTGACAACTCTGTTGTGTCCCGGCGTCGTCCCATTTTCTGGACAGCACTGTCCTGCTTCAGTGAAGAAGCCGCCGTGCTTCCTGCGCGCGCAGATGCCCAATTCATAGACAGCGAAGTTGCAACTCGCTGCCGTCCAACTCCCGGAGGAGCTCGTCAATCGTGAGGGTTGTTATTCGTATGTTGGTGCTGCGGACTCATATGTGTGTGTCGATATGTGTTCCTATAGTGGTGCTGCTTTGCGCGTGGACTGGCTACACCTTAGGCGATGCTTAAGAAAACTTACATTTTCGGCCAGAGTCTCGATTATTCTTAACGTTTCAATGTAATTCCTAAGATTTGACTAGAAATGTTGGGTTAGATTTCAAGTTCTGAGACTATGAATTTCTTAACCCATGATTTCTAAAGCATTTCGCAGGGTGTACAGCACTTGTCGCATGCACGCGCGCGCGTTCATTTCAGTCTTGGTCTCTGGTCTGAAGGGGGAGCTGAATGGTTCGAAGGGATACGGAGGAGTGCACTGCTTGATGGTCGGGTGGGTGGGCGGGGGTCATTCCGGTCCGAATTGTTTCACGACCTTCTGTTTTGCCGCACTGAGCCCTGCCCTTCTCTCTCTGGACGGTGTTTCCTCTTACCCGACTCAGGGGACGCACCAGGATACGCGTGGACGCATCGATCATTAATTTGCTGGATGAGCCATAGAAACAGCCACAATCGCGCAAGGGTGATCGATGGGCCAGGGCCAGGACGCCAGGCCAATGCTCCACAGTACACAGTCCTCTTCTTCCTCCTCCTCCTGCTCCTCCTCCTCCTCCTCGTCCTCCTCCCCCTCCTCTGATGTAAGTTTTGGCTGTGTCCACAACAGGCGTGCTCCTCTCCTTCCCCTCCTCCCCATGCCCCTGCCCTCCCACCGAAGACGCGCGCTTAGGCGAGAAATGTGATGGCTGAGCTTCTGGCGGGGAACACCGTCGCAGACGTGGACGACGATGACGAGGACGCAGATCCGGAAGACTTGCTGGGCAGCGTTCGGAGGTTTTTGTTTTCACAGGGGGAGGGGCGGGGGGAGGCGGAGGAGGAGCGTATACGGCATTGCCCAGCTCTCTCTCTCTTTTTTTTTTTTTTGTTTTTTGTTTCTCCCTCTCTCTCTCTGTCTCTCTTCGCACACAGCTTCGGCTGCCAGCTCCGGGCACCGGCGCTCTCGGTGCCCATGTGTGCCCTGCCGCGCAGCTTCGCAGCACGGGGTGGCCCAGCGTGCCAGTGCCTGGGACACGTAAGGCTCGAGTTTTTTTCCGGAGGAGTTGGAGGAGGAGGAGGAGGAGGAGGAGGAGGAGTTGATGGAGGAGGAGGAGGAGGAGGAGGAAGAACTTGACGTCCCGGTATTTTGTTGCAGTCCCGGCGTGAACTTTGTCAGGCCCCTTTTTCGCGAGATGTCATGTCAGCAGTCGGCAGCGGGAGCTCGCGCCAGATTCCAGTCCAGGTCCCGCAGTTTTGCTGGCGGCCCCGTCGAGCGAATCCGAGTATACACCTAACGTCGAGCCTGACACTTCCCCGACAGTGATATTCGCAGGGAACAGGTACGATCGGACCGAGGTATAAGATCGAGGTCGGTTCGGGAAGGGTACCCCATCCCGTCCCAGTGATAATGATGAGCCCCCCCCCCTGGGGTCGTCTATGTTTATTCTCTGCGGCCTGTATATGCCACAAGAGTCGGGGACGCGAGGAGGCCGAACTTTATTATCACCCGGCAAAGTTCCAGTCATAGCTCTGATCTTCATATCATGCATCGCACCATGAGCGATCCTTATTATCTGTCGCCTAACGATTCATGTCCAATGTTGTGAGGATGTCTCAGACGAAACGCGCATTTTCGAAGATTCGCCAACTTTTTGAGTATGTCTCAAACAAAACGCTTGACTTTGTGAAAATCACTGTCGCGAACATGTCACTCTGGTGACAATGTCTCAGGCGAAACGCTCAGTTTTTCGAGCTGCCCCTCCCCTTCCTCCCCGCAGCTGTTCGAGGCCCATCCGATCCAGACATCCCCACATTGATATCTCCAGGAAAGAGTGTATTATCCTCCAGGGTCCAGAACTTTCTTATCCCCACGGGGTTATTATGGCGGGCATGGGATTAGTGTTCTTCCTGTTTGTTGGATGTTCTTGTGTACCCTGGGAGATGGTACCCTCGGCTGCTCTTCAGTTTCGCCGGCGGAGGGTCCCATGTTCTTGAAGGGTGTTCTTCCGTCCCAGGTCCGGCCGTACCCCGAAAGTTCCCGGATAGCTCCTTGGATTCCTTGGAGAGTTTAGAGAGTTGTAGAAATAGGAACCGGGACCGCAGAGTAGCCCCAGAGCTCGTTCCAGCTTCAGTGACAACATCTCGGCGCGTTTTGCCTGACTTTGCAGCTTGTTCGGGCAGGCTTTTTCCAAGCGTTTCGCAATACGTGCGCCCGGAAGCTCTCCAGAAGTCCTTCGGAAGCTCCTTCCAGAATCTTCCAGAGCTCTTTCGAGAGGCTTTTAGAAGGCGCTCTGCTATCCGGGTTTTGGACTTCACGATTGAATCTTACGCCTCCCCGACAGTGATAGTCGCAGGGAGCAGGTACGTCGTCCTTCGCCTCCCCATCGGCAGGCCCTCTCGAGCCACGCCCTGCGGAAGCCCGCTGCAAGGCGGCAGACCATCTCGAGCCGGGCAGGGCGGACAACAAACGTTATGGGCTTCGCATAATGGGATACATATATATATATATATATATCGAGGACACCAGCGGCGCATCAACGGCCGCTCCCTGGGAGTTTGTCGAAGTGGCGCGCAGCATCGAAAGTCGTGACGCGGCAAGAGGGCGCCCTGAGAGCGCCTCAAGAGGGTTCCCAGCGGGCCCGATAGCAGCCCAACAGGAAGGACCAGTGGGCAGAAGTCGCCAAGATGGGTCCATCACATCCGCGTGGCACAGTCTGGTCCAAAGAAGCCCCTTGGCAAGGCCGAGATCATTAGATCATCGGTGGTGTTTGAACATATGTTTGTGGTTTCCTCGATGTTTCGCCTCGGATGCCTTTATCAGACGCGCGTTTGAATTGCATTATCTTACAATCGCCCCGAAGGGCTCAGGGGAAATCTCTTGAGAAGGGTGCAAGCGCGACCCTTGTTGGTTGTAAAATGCAGCCCTGGTTGTTAGCAACTTCGTCTGTTTGAAACGCAGCCGCTTCTGATTGGGAAGGGGAGGTGGAGGAGGAGGAGGAGGAGGAGAAGGAAGAGGAGGGGGAGGAGGAGGACGGAGGCCAGGACGCTGGTTCAGGTGGGGGAGGACACATTCTGTATCCGCTTGAAGGGCAACTTAGTCGGAAATTCTTCACGCTTCGCGTATCCCCACCAGCCCATCTCACAGCAGCAACTCTTGCGAAACATGCCGACAGTTTTGTTTTTCAGGCGTGTGTCCGCTTGGCCCCGCATATCTCCCCTGTTCCTCCTTCCTCCCGCCTCCTTGTACATCCTCCTTGTGGGGGGAGCGGGAGAAGGACGAGGCGGAGGAGGAGGGAGAGAAAGCGCTCCTCGTGATTTGAGTCGTTTGGGGTTTCTCGTCCTGGTGTGAGTCGTTCGGGCCCTTCTTCCTGGTGTGAGTCGTTCGGGCTCTTCGTGGTGTGAGTCGTTCGGGCTCTTCGTCCTGGTGTGAGTCGTTCGGGCTTCTCGTGGTGTGAGTTGTTCGGGCCCCTCATCCTGGTGTGAGTCGTTCGGGCCCCTCCTCCTGGTGTGACTCGTTCGGGCTCCTCGTGGTGTGAGTCGTTCGGGGCCCGCGTCGTGGTGTGAGTCGTTCGGGCTCCTCGTGGTGTGAGTCGTTCGGGCGCCTCGTCCTGGTGTGAGTCGTTCGGGCCCCTCCTTGTGGTGTGAGTCGTTCGGGCTCTGCGTGGTGTGAGTCGTTCGGGCCCCTCGTCCTGGTGTGAGTCGTTCGGGCTCCTCGTGGGGCCTCTTGGGGGCCTCTTGGAGCCTCTTGGGGCCTCTTGGGGGCTTCTTGGGGGCCTCTTGGGGGCCTCTTGGGGGCCTCTTGGGGCCTCTTGGGGCCTCTTGGGGGCCTCTTGGGGACTCTTGGAGGCCTCGTGGGGCCTCTTGGGGGCCTCTTGGGGGCCTCGTGGAGGCCTCTTGGGAGGCTCCTGGGGGCCTCTTGGGGCCATCTGGGGGCCTCTTGCGACCTCCTCTGAAGCGCAAAGGAGCGCTGGCCCCTGAGAAGGACAAAATGAGCCCAAAACCTCCGTAAAATCAATGATTTTGCTATGAAGGAAGATGAGCGCGGCCCCCTCAGAAGGCCAAAAAGGGGCCAAAACCGTAGTAAAATCAATGTTTTTGGCTTCAAAGACGAGTTGAGGGACCAAGCGGTCTCCCCCCCTCGGGACCCGAATCCTCGTGAGGGTCGTCGTTTTTGGGCCCTCCCAGGAGTCGAAAAAGACCCCCTTGCCACCACTCGGCCCGCCCTCTCCAGGTCCAGGGGAGGGGGTAGGGGGAGGGGTAAACCCCTCCCCGAAGAGGAAGATAGGGGGTTAGGGGGTTGAGAACAGAGAGAGCTCTCTAAACCACTCACGCCCAAAGGGCTGGTGGGATTCTGAGAAGGGGTGTCGGAGAGGATCGGCGAGGTTTCCCAGCGAGGGGTTCGGAAGCCACGACAAGAGCACCTAGTGGCTTCTCGAAGAAGAGGGAACGATGGACGGAGGAGGGGGCGGCAGTGGACCAGGGAAAGGAGGAGGAGGAGGACGAGGGGTACGTGGAGGGACGGGAGGAGGGCAGTTTCGAGGAGGGCGGGGCGGGCTAAAGGGAAGGCGGGGGAGGGCTCGGAGAGAGCGTGGCGGGAAAGATGCCCCCAGATGGATATGCGAGCAGAAGAACGAGCAGATCACCAAAGATTCCATTCGCGATGCGAGACGCTTCGCGTTCACTCCCCGCCCACGGGGCTGCCGCGGTTGCCGCGGACGGAAGGGCCACGGCAGCCCCCAGGCGCCACGTCCGCGGGCCTCTTCGGACGAACTTGTTTTTTTTTTTGGACGAAGAATCGGTGGGGAGGTCGCGCCCATTCATGATTCACATGTTTGGAGCCCCGGGAGTGGGGGGGGGCAAGCAAGGTGGAATCTCAAGTGCCCGGTGACCCAAAGCTGCCGGCGGATTTCAACATGAAGGTGCGGTTCCAGGGCCACGTGGATTCGACCCCGCCGGACCACCTCAGGTGCATTCTCAGGGTAGTCGTCCAGGAGGTGCTTGGTTTTTGCCGACGATTGACTGATTGCTGATGAAAGACGTCGGTGGAGGAGGAGGGTTGACGGACGGAGGGAGGATGGTGCAGCGAGGGGGCGAAGAAGCGGACGATGATGTGCGTGCATGTTGCCGTCAAATGTCCGCCGCGTAGGAAATTCGGCAACAAAGTGCTGATTCTGCGCGTGGTCTGTAGTGCCAGGGGATTGCGCAGTCAGAAGGGGCGTGAGCGCAGGTGAAACTATTGACGTTCGCGTGTCTGCATCCGCCCACCCAGAGCTGAATCCCAGGCGTGTTGTAATGAGAAGGTTTGTGTCTGAGCGTCAGAGAACGAGGAGCTGAGATGTTCACTAGGCGCAAAGGTGAAACCCAAATCGTGTTCTTCAAGTTAGCTATGGGTGGTATCACACTGGGAGTCCGTGAAGGCCTTGACCCCTGCATTAGCCTCAACAGTGGAGAGGCGCGACGAGGTCGGGGGTCAACCGCCAAGGCCTTCGTCAACATTTCCACGGGTTAGTTATGGGTGGAATTACATTGGGAGTCCGTGAAGGCCTTGTCCCTTGCATTAGTCTTGACAGCGGAGAGGTGCGACGAAGTCAGGGGTCAACCGCCAAGGCCTTCGCCAACACTTCCACGGGAAGACGGGAGGCTGCCAGGGAACCGATCGGTGTGTCTGTGCTTTTGTCGCATGTATTCGCTTGGCGTCGTTTGCGCAGCGCTCGGGGTATATTGCCAATCGCCCGACGCACTGCTTCTGAGCATTTTTGGGGGGAAAGTCCATCGGGAGATATCCGGGGGGGGGAGGAGGAGGAGGAGGAGGAGGAGGAGGAGGAAGGGAGGAGGAGGGAGAGGAGGAGAGGAGGAGGAGGAGGAGATATCTGGTGACTCCGCGGCCGTCGTGGGGCTCACCAGGGCCCTCTCATGGCCCTCCAGGGCGAGGACCGTTGTCGGAAGCTCCGCCGAAGCTCAAGGGCGAGGGCCTCCGTCGGACGGGGCCAGGACGAGGACCTCCTCCTCCTCCTCCTCCTCTTCCTCCTCCTCCTCCTCCTCCTTCACCTCCCTCTTCCCCCCCCCCCCTCCTCCTCCTCTTCCTCCTCCTCCTCCTCCTCTCCTCCTCCTCCTCCTCCTCCTCTTCCTCCTCCTCCTCGGACAAATCCGTTTCAGAGCGTTCTGGAACGCGGAACGCTGTCAGGGCGCTCCGGGAACGCCCCGAGAAGGCCGCGGGACCCGGGACGGCCTCCAGAACCGCCGGATCTCAGAGATTCTCGATTGATCCTCACCCGAATATTCTTCGTCATGGCTGATGGGCGTGTTTTCCACCACCACCACCATAAGTTGGAGGGAGGAGGAGGAGGAGGAGAAGGAGGAGGAGGAGGAGGAGGAGGAGGAGGAGAAGGAGGAGGAGGAGGAGGAGGAGGACCCCCCCTCTCCAACTCATGGTGGTGGTGGTGGAAAACACGCCCATCAATGGCTTCGTCTTCAAGGAGGTTCGGGTGGCCCAGCGACGGCGGGGTCGTTCCTCCCGCGCAGCTTCGCCTCGCACGCACGCACGACACGACCACGACACCGAAACAGAGTTCCTGGTTGGGGGGGGGGCTCTTCGTTCCACTGCGATCTCACCCCTCAACCTCCGACCGTGGTATGACAACACTCTCCTTCACACCAAGGTCACACCACATCAACAAGAAGCCAAGGAAGCACAGATGCAATGTATGAAGGACCGCCGGCATTGCCGCCGGGCTGTGGCCTGGAGGCCAGAGCTTCGAGCGGGGCAGAAATTTCTAAGACGGAGGTGCTGACGAATGAAGTAGCTACAGTTCTATGAACGAACCCCGCCGCCACACCTTGGGCATACATCTCAGCAAGAACCAGCTGTGCAAGCACAGGTCGCAGGTATGCAGGACCGATGGCATTGCTTGGATGACAAAGCAACGTATGGGAGGCTAAATCGCCAGGACGGTAAACATCCTTCAGAGCCGCCAGATCTCAGAGATTCTCGATTGATCCTCACCCGCATTTTCTTCGTCCGGGCTTCGCCTTACTCCGAGAAGGCATCCTTGCGAGGTTGGCTGGCTCTTCCAGGCCGCCTGCGGTCAGGATCTTTGGCTTAGGAGGAGGAGGAGGAGGAGGAGAAGGAGGAGGAGGAGGAGGAGATGAAAGGAGGAGGTAGGAGGAGGAAGAAGAGAGGAGAAGGGTGGGAGAGGAGGGGGACGAGGAGGAGGTCTAGGAGGAGGGGTAGGGAGGAGAGAGAGAGGAGAGGAGGAGGAGAGTAGGAAGAGGACAGCGAGAAGGAGAGATGAGGGAGGAGAGAAAAAGAGGTAGGAGAGGAGGAGGAGGAGGAGGAGGAGGTTGTGGGTAGGAGGTAGTAGGAGAGGAGGAGAGGTGAGGAGCGAGGAGGGGGAATGAGGAGGAGGAGAGGAAGAGGAGGAGGAGGAGGATGAGGAGTAAGGAAGGCGAGGATGATGAGGAGCGAGAGGACGGGGGAGGAGGAGTAGGAAGGAAGGAGGGGAGAGAGGAGGAGAGGAGGAGAGGAGGAGGAAGGAAGACGAGGAGGAGGAGGAGGGGAGGGAGGAGGTGGAGGAGGAGGGGGATTCGAAAAATTCTGGTGGCATCCTTGGGAGGCCGGGTGGTTCTTCCCACCCCCCACGAGCGGAATCTTTGGCTCTCGGCGTGCCGCACCGCCAGGGTCCGGCCCACCATGCTGCGGAGGGGCCCAGGGGCCCACCAGCATATCGACACAGATCAGGGGAGCCACAACTGGGGGAGCTGTAGTCCTTACCCCCCTGGGGAACCCATCGATTTCTACACCCCTCTCGAGAGATCGTCGACGCGATGGGTTCCCCCAGGGGGGTAAGGACCACAGCTCCCCCAGTTATGGCTGGTCGGCAGATCCCAGGAGTCCCTATATTTTTCCGTATGTTCTGGGTGTTTCGTCTTCCCCCCCCCCCCTCCCTTGCTCCCGCCAGTCTTAAGTCGGGCGTGTCCCTCTACAGGGGGGATAGTCAAAGATGGTCAGAAAATAGTCGGGGGACGATTTTTTGGCTTTTTTTTAAATCGTTTGGGGAGTATTTTGTGAGTAGTTTTTATTTTTCGCCCAAAATCCCCCTGTAGGGGGACACGCCCGACTGAACGCCAGTCGGGATGGTGAGGACGTGCGTGCGAAGAAATGCACGAAATTTGCCAGACTTGTCGTTGAACGGCGTGTGGTGTTTCATATGTGTCTGACGAGCTCTGTCGTGAAACGCCTCGACAAACAATGGTTTCTAAAGGATTTCGACACGCGCGCGTAGCAGCGCGCGCGCGTGACCTGGACGGCGTGATTCGATACGAATCCGCACACTGGGCGCATGCTGGATCAACGCGGACGCCCAGCATTGAGAGATGCGAACGCGGGTTTGGGACGAGATTGCACACATCTGATGGCTGCCATATGAGATCCACAAATGCGTGCGGGTAGGACGCATGCACGTTGTGTGACGGAACATGTAAAGGTTGTATTGTTTATGTTGTTATGTTGAATTGCGTGCAGCACTTGCGTTCTTGGTATAGTTTCAACATGTGCACGCGCGTGTGCACGGTGTGCCTTTGGTGGAGGGGTGTCCCAGGAGAGCCTCAAGACAATACAAAAGGATTTCAAGAGGGCCCCAAGACGGCCCGGAGCCTCATCTTCTTGCCCCAAGAGGCCCGCATCACATATCCCCCCAAATCGCGACCTCCTCACTGGGCCTTTTCCAGAGTTTCCAATACAAGTTCTTGTATCACTTACGTTTCCACTTTGGTTCGATGCAGGTTGACGTTGGATGCCGTGCTTGAGGCTACGTCTAGCCCAGAAATCGCCAACGGCAACCACATACACGTATTTGCGCAAGCGATGCTGCGTTTTCACGAGCGTTTACGCGCGAACCACCCTCTTCGCTTTGCAATGGAGTGGGGAGTCTTGAGTCATGGACGTCGTGGACCTTCCCAGATCTAACGGATCAACCTTTCCAGTCGTCGCGTGGTCAAGGGAACTCTGTGGGATGATCTTCAAGTCGGTCCAAGATGCTTCCAAGACGGCCCAAGACAGTTTTCGAAGATGGCCAAGACGGCCTCCAAGACGGCCAGGACGGC